TCCTAATTGTCCCTAGAATTTCTAAGCAAACAGCGGGAGGCAGGGCTTTCTCCTATAGATCTCCATTTTTATGGAACAGTCTGCCTACCCATGTGAGAGACGCAGACTCGGTCTCAACCTTTAAGTCTTTACTGAAGACTTATCTCTTCAGTAGGTCATATGATTGAGTGTAGTCTGGCCCAGGAGTGTGAAGGTGAACGGAAAGGCTGGAGCAACGAACAGCCCTTGCTGTCTCTGCCAGGCCGGTTCCCCTCTCCACTGGGGTTCTCTGCCTCTAACCCTGTTGCAGGGGCTGAGTCACTGGCCTGCTGGTGCTCTTTCATGCCGTCCCTGGGAGGGGTGCGTCACTTGAGTGGGTTGAGTTACTGACGTGATCTTCCTGTCTGGGTTGGCGCCCCCCCCCCCCCTTGGTTTGTGCTGTGGTGGAGACCTCTGTGGGCTATACTCGGCCTTGTCTCAGGATTGTAAGTTGGTGGTTGGGGATATCCCTCTAGTGGTGCGGGGGCTGTGCTTTGGCGGAGTGGGTGGGGTTATATCCTTCCTGTTTGGCCCTGTCCGGGGGTTTCTTCGGATGGGGCCACAGTGTCTCCGGACCGCTCCTGTCTCAGCCTCCAGTATTTATGCTGCAGTAGTTTATGTGTCGGGGGGCTGGGGTTAGTTGGTTATACCTGGAGTACTTCTCCTGTCTTATCCAGTGTCCTGTGTGAATTTAAGTATGCTCTCTCTAATTCTCTCGTTCTCTCTTTCTCTCTGAGAACCTGAGCCCTAGGACCATACGTCAGGACTACCGGGCATGATGACACCCTGCTGCCCCCAGTCCGCCTGGCCTTGCTGCTATTCCAGTTTCAACTGTTCTGCCTGCGGCTACGAAACCCCTACCTGTCCCAGACCTGCTGTTTTCAACTCTAAATGATCGGCTATGAAAAGCCAACTGAGAGACCTGAGCCCTAGGACCATACGTCGGGACTACCGGCCGTGGTGACTCCTTGCTATCCCCAGTCCGCCTGGCCTTGCTGCTATTCCAGTTTAAACTGTTCTGCCTGCGGTTATGGAACCCCTACCTGTCCCAGACCTGCTGTTTTAAACTCTAATGATCGGCTATGAAAAGCCAACTGAGATTTATTCCTGATTATTATTTGACCATGCTTGTCACTTATGAACATTTTTGAACATCTTGGCATGGTTCTGTTATAATCTCCACCCGGCACAGCCAGAAGAGGACTGGCCACCCCTCATAGCCTGGTTCCTCTCTAGGTTTCTTCCTAGGTTTTGCCTTTCTAGGGAGTTTTTCCTAGCCACCGTGCTTCTACACCTGCATTACTAGCTGTTTGGGGTTTTAGGCTGGGTTTCTGTACAGCACTTCGAGATATTAGCTGATGTAAGAAGGGCTATATAAAATAAAATTGATTGATTGATTGAGTCATGTGTATCCCCTGTCACAGGCTGAAACGGAGGCTATGGAAACATACGTCACCGAGTCCCTGCTCCAGGGGTTTATAGGTCCCTCCACTTCACCCCTCTCCACAAGCTGCCCACGTCCACCTCCAACGCGCCGTGCGTCGTCAGAAAGCCAACGCTGACCGCCACCGCAGTGAGGCCCCGGTCTTCGTACCGAGTGATTGGGTCTGGCTCTCGACCTGGAATCTGCCCCTCCACCTGCCCTGCCGGAAGCTGAGCCTGCGGTTTGTGGGGCCGTTCAAAGTCCTGAGGAGAATCAACGAGGTTACCTATAGGTTATTACTCCCCCATGATTACCGTATTAACCCCTCGTTTCATGTGTCTCTCCTCAGGCCGGTGGTGGCTGGTCCGCTCCAGGAGTCTGAGGTGCGGGAGGTCCCTCCGCCTCCTCTGGACATCGAGGGGGCCCCGGCATACTCCGTCCGTTCCATCCTGGATTCGAGGCGTCGGGTGGGGGGCATTCAGTACCTCGTGGAGTGGGAGTGGTACGGTCCGGAGGAACGGTGCTGGTTCCCGGTGAGGGATATCTGTCACGACCTCCTCCGAAGCTGCCTCCCCTCCTTGTTCGGGCAGGCTTCGGCGTTCGTCGTCACCGGCCTTCTAGCCACTGCCGCTCCATATCTCATCATTCCATTTGTCTTGTCAATTACACACACCTGGTTCATATTCCCCTCATTAGTACGTATTTAAGTGTTCCCTCTGCCACTTGTCCTTGTGGGTGATTGTTCATTGTGAGGATTAGTAGCTCGGTTGAGCTCAGTATTTTGTATTGCCGGGGTATTTTCACCTGTGCATGTTTGTTCCAGTGCGCCTGTTTTGCGCACTGGACTGGTTACTCTGGATTACGGAATCAACTCTGTATACTGTGATATACCCTCCTGCGCCTGACTCCTTCAAATCACGTATCACAGATGGTGTATACCATGTGTATCCTGTACATACGACTAATAAACTTGAAACATGAAAAACACTTCTGCTGTGAGTTGAAAAAAAGAAAAGACTGTTCCAAACACGTGTCCAGTTCATAACTTTTATTGGTTTTGGAAAGAAGCAAACTAAGTTTCTCATCAGATCATCTTAACATTGTCTGTACAAACACAGCTTGCACATGTGGTTGAGAGAGAAACAGTATGGAACCCAAAGCAGTCGGGCTTAGCACGTCACACACAGACACACACCCTGCTCTGGTCTTCAGTTCTCACAGTTAACATGACAACAGGTCAACGAGTCTATTGGTTGGTGGACCACTTCACTTTAACACTGTACTGTAACTGTATGCAGACATAACATTATCCATGACATTATCCATAACATTATCCATAACATTATCCATGCCGTAACACTTAGCTTGTACCCTCCCTCCATCATAAGCACGACCAGAGATCATACATAGTTCATAAACAGTAAAAACATTACCAATGTAATTTCTGTTAACTATAGTTAGGAGTGTGAAATAAGGTTCAAGCGAAGTGTTACTCACTAAACTGCTATACAGAGAGCTACATGACACAATTCATTGATGCCTTACTTAGAAATGCCAACTTTATGGTCAGACAACATGAACATGTAATCACAGTCCAACACCCTCTAAGACACTTCTATGGCAGGCGTATAAATGGTGCTATGTAGCTTCATGAAGCACAGATATTATGCTGACATACTTATGATGCCCACACAAGGAGACCTTTTAAGTTAAATGTCATCACACACATTTTGTTCTATGTTGAATATCAGAGCATTCAGGAAGTTTATAACATTATCAGCAGTGTTCTTCACATGAAACAATATATATCACTTTTTTTGTCGGTTTAAAAAATATTCTGCTTATTTCTTTCTGTTTTAGAGGAGTGTCTGGAGTACACACATAAAATACAAAATGCGTTTTGGTCATCTAACCTCCCTCCAAAACCTTGTCACCATGTCATCTCACAGAGACCGTTACCATTATGCAAAATAAAGCCATGGAATCAAGCGCTGGTTGGTTTGATCTGAAGGGGAGTGTTCATGCTGTTTGATGCAGAATAATATGCTGTCAGGGGGGTTTCAGGTAGATAGGGACACATTGAGGTGAATGGAAATAGGGTATAACATCGTTAAAACCTGACTGATTATCCTGACTGGTAATAACTATTAGTGTACCTCTAAATAACACTGCTTTCATACTGCCTGACGTACGCATCCAGATAGATATTCATCTTGTTTTTTATTTTATCCCCCCCCACGTGCATATATAGCTCAAATATTCTGTTGCACTTGAGTAAAAAAATTATATTTGAAATAAATTCAAAAATTATACCTTATTCATTATACTGTACACAGGTTACCCAACTACACAGATAACAAAAAAAGATACTTCTAATATTTATACCTTCAAGGATTCTAAATTGTGATACTATTCAAATTCATATACAGAATCACATATTTTTTACAACAAATCATTATCATCAATAAATAAAAATATAATGTTGTAATGTACTCTGAAGTAAGTCTACCACTACTGTGTCAGGAACAACAGAAAGGCTATTTGACAAGGAAAACACCAAACGCCCTTTCACATATATATTATTAATTTAAAATTAGAATTTGTACAGGTTTTTTTATTGAGGGAAACACTTTCTATTTTTTAAATATTGCAACCAATAATTTATTTATTGTTGCAGCTTCCTAACTACTCAGGACTTTTAGATATTTTCTGAGGAAAATGTTGAGAGTAAATGTTTGAACCGGGTGTTAAATCACTGCATTCAAAGAAGAGAGAGGAGTGTGATAATGGTCATCATCCAAATGAACAATGTCCTTTAACCCTGTTGTGCCAGTGTGAAACGCATAGTCCCGTGTAGCTCAGTTGGTAGAGCATGGCGTTTGCAACGCCAGGGTTGTGGGTTCGATTCCCACGGGGGGCCAGTATGAAAATGTATGCACTCACTAACTGTAAGTCGCTCTGGATAAGAGCGTCTGCTAAATGACTAAAAATGTTTTTTTTAAAGCATAAAAACTCCAATACCCAGAATTCTATGGTAGCTCTAACAGTGTCCAATGAGAGGCAGCATGAGGAAGAATTAGCCCCTCCCTTAAACTGAATGGGGCGTCAATTCATTTTAGTTCACTCAATGACACAACACAATGGTATTTTCATGCAACCTCTCCTAATACCACATCTTTGTTGATGAGTCTAAAATAAATACAGTGAATTATGTGTTAGGTTCACGGTTGAGTCTAGGCAGCTAGGCAGCTGTAGCAGTGTTTAAGTTTGAACACCACACATTAGAGAGGGGGGTAGAGAGACAGAAGCATGTACCTTTAGAGAGGGAAACCCGGGTGGGTGTCTATAACTGCAGCAATACAGATGTTCTGAAACGAATACATTTTACAAATACAATAATGACACCCTAAAACGGTCCACGAGGCTATATGCAAGTTATACAATACTGCTGGGTCCAGTAGGCTGTGTGGCCTGGGCCTGTCTGTCTCGCGGGTTTAGAAAGGAGTGTCTGTCTGTCTGTCTGTCTGTAGGGAGGTGGTGGTCCTCTGTAGTAAAGGTTTTCATTGAGATTATGATCTTCAGTGTATTTGTTCAGTAGTAATAGAGATCCTATTATCAGTTGTCTGCCAAGTATTTTCCTGAAAATGACAAACATGCTTTGGGTTACATTTGAATACTTATGTGTGAAAATAAATCATTCATGCAACTATGTACCCATAGCAATTCCAAAACATATTTGATGATAATACTGTATCATAACAGTGTAATAACACCAATTAATATCACAGTGATACACTATTAGTTTATAATCACCATGTTATTATTACACTACGAGCGTCACACTAATTTGAGTCAATCTTTCCCTTATTCTGATACTTTGTGGATGGGATGCACTCCATAATAACTTAGGTGACATTATTTCTGTTTAATGGAGTAAGTGAAGAAAGGCAGTGTCTCACCTGCAGCGAACCTCTTCTTGATGAGTGAGAAGCGGTACCCAGGGCCAGCCAGCTCTATATCACAACCTGACAGAGTGCTGCCTTCGCTGGTGAACTGGACCGCCAGGGGAGAGGGCTTACTGGGACCCTCCGAGAGCTGGAACCGTGCCAACAATGAGCCAATGCCTGGGTACATCACAGAGCGGGACAGAGGCTCAATATACTGCACAAACATACACATGTGCATATACAGTTGAAGTCGGAAGTTTACATACACCTTAACCAAATACATTTAAACTCAGTTTTTCACAATTCCTGACATTTAATCTTAGTAAAAATTCCCTGTCTTAGGTCAGTTAGGATCACCACTTTATTTTAAGAATGTGAAATGTCAGAATAATAGTAGAGAGAATGATTTTTTTATTTATTTCATCACATTCCCAGTGGGTCAGAAGTTTACATACACTCAATTAGTATTTGGTAGCATTGCCTTTAAATTGTTTAACTTGGGTCAAATGTTTCGGGAAGCCTTCCACAAGATTCCCACAATAAGTTGGGTGAATTTTGGCCCATTCCTCCTTACAGAGCTGGTGTAACTGAGTCAGGTTTGTAGGCCTCCTTGCTCGCACACGCTTTTTCAGTTCTGCCCACACATTTTCTATAGGATTGAGGTCAGGGCTTTGTGATGGCCACTCCAATACCTTGACTTTGTTGTCCTTAAGACATTTTGCCACAACTTTGGAAGTATGCTTGGGGTCATTGTCCATTTGGAAGACCCATTTGCGACCAAGCTTTAACTTCCTGACTGATGTCTTGAGATGTTGCTTCAATATATCCACATAATTTTCCTTCCTCATGATGCCATCTATTTTGTGAAGTGCACCAGTCCCTCCTGCAGCAAAGCACCCCCACAGCATGATGCTGCCACCCCCGTGCTTCACGGTTGGGATGGTGTTCTTCGGCTTGCAAAGGCCCCCTTTTTCCTCCAAACATAACGATGGTCATTATGGCCAAACAGTTCTATTTTTGTTTCATTAGACCAGAGGACATTTCTCCAAAATGTCCCCATGTGCAGTTGCAAACCGTAGTCTGGCTTTTTTATGGCGGTTTTGGAGCAGTGGCTTCTTCCTTGCTGAGCGGCCTTTCAGGTTATGTCGATATAGGACTTGTTTTACTGTGGATATAGATACTTTTGTACCTGTTTCCTCCAGCATCTTCACAAGGTCCTTTGCTGTTGTTCTGGGATTGATTTGCACTTTTCGCACCAAAGTACGTTCATCTCTAGGAGACAGAACGCGTCTCCTTCCTGAGTGGTATGATGGCTGCGTGGTCCCATGGTGTTTATACTTGCGTACTATTGTTTGTACAGATGAACGTGGTACCTTCAGGCGTTTGGAAATTGCTCCCAAGGATGAACCAGACTTGTGGAGGTCTACAATTGTTTTTCTGAGGTCTTGGCTGATTTCCTTTGATTTTCCCATGATGTCAAGCAAAGAGGCACTGAGTTTGAAGGTAGGCCTTGAAATACATCCACAGGTACACCTCCAATTGACTCAAATGGTGTCAATTAGCCTATCAGAAGCTTCCAAAGCCATTACATCCTTTTCTGGAATTTTCTAAGCTGTTTAAAGGCACAGTCAACTTAGTGTATGTAAACTTCTGACCCACTGGAATTGTGATACAGTGAATTATAAGTTAAATAGTCTGTCTGTAAGCAATTGTTGGAAAAAATTACTTGTGTCATGCACAAAGTAGATGTCCTAACTGACTTGCCAAAACTATAGTTTGTTAACAAGAAATTTGTGGAGTGGTTGAAAAACTACTTTTAATGACTCCAACCTAAGTGTATGTAAACTTCCGACTTCAACTGTATATGTAAACAGACCATAAATGTCTACTATATGAGACAATATCAGTACCTGTTGCATTTACAACTTGTCTAAGTCCTATCATCAACTGATTTCAGCCAGTGTATGGCTGTGGATTGACTACATTGTTTTAATGGAATGTTGGCATATTGGCAGTTAATTTGACAAATTAATGGAATCATTCCTTTAAAACTGTCTGGGTAGCTAGCTAATAAATTCTTCAAATTCATTATTTTACACAATTTCTTATCACAGCACTGGCAAACCATGGTTGACCAACTCCCTGACCAAAATGGCTGACCTTTATCCCATTATAAGAAGGTTAATGTTCATTCTAGTATTCTAATCCTAATTCTATGGTTTTTTAACTCTTCTCTGATCATTATGACTGTTGGAACCATCTCCAGACAGAAGGGGGCATCAGTGAGTTAAATGGGGGAAAAGGCCAAACGTCATGTACAGTAAGTCAAAGGTAATGTCATTATTAAAAGGGTCTGTTCATCTGGACTGAAAAACACTAATGTATCCATCCATAGCTAATCAGCCCTATAAGGCAAACATACAGGTAACTGCCAAAATAAAGGAAACACCAACATAAAGTGTCTTAATAGGGCATTGGGCCTCCACAAGCCAGAACACGTTTAATGCACCTTGGCATAGATTCTATAAGTGTCTGGAACTCTATTGGATGCGACACCATTCGTCTACAAGAAATTCCATCATTTGGTGTTTTAATTATGGTGGTGGAAAACGCTGTCTCAGGTGCCGCTCCAGAATCTCCCATAAGGGTCAACTGGGATGAGATCTGGTGACTGACACACACCCCCTCCCACCCACCTACCCTTTAAACCCCCTATGCTCCTTTGAGACTCTCCTCTTTCAAAGTCACTGAGATCTCTTCTAGCTATGGTAGCCAAAATAATGGGCAACTTGGCATTTTAATACATGACCCTAAGCATGATGGGTTGTTAATTGCTTAATTAACTCAGGAACCACACCTGTGTGGAAGCACCTACTTTCAATATATTTAGTGTTTCCTTCATTTTGGCAGTTACCTGTAGGTTCAATGTGATTAATACCTGAACATACACCCCAAATCTAGTTAGTCAGGCAAAGCCAAGCTAAGATGTAAGTATTAAGGGTCACACACATCGCACCGAATAAGGATCTCCCATTCGTCTACCCGATCGACTACCAAAATTTTTGCGCGATTCTACATGTCAAATTGGTTTGCACCAGTTCGCAAGTACTCTCGGCAGGCAAACGCTATTGATGTCTTTCGAGCCCTTAGAGCCTGTAGTTGCCATGACGCGACGTCACCAATTATTTTAGATTAGTACATTAGTGGAGAAGATGATAACAAGGTATTACCGATTCCTCCTGTGTATAAACAAGGTTATTTACCTCCATTTTCAGATTTCTGGGAAATATCAGGAATCTTCCACAGGATTCTCTGCTGCTCTGCGTTCCTGGAAGAACAGAATCAAACGTAAATCTGTTACTCTCTAAAAGTCAGGAATAGGTTTAATCTGGGTCTAGGAAACGGGCCTTCTCAAACTCGCAAAATGGATATCTTCAACACAGGGCTGAGCCATAGAGCCATGGGTTGTCTCCGACTGAAGCAGCCTTCAACTTTTAATAATCAAATTAACTGAATTTAATTCAATAGAAATGTATTGTATACGGTTCTGACATACAGTATACTATTCTGTCTTACCATGCGGCGGGGGGAAGCACGGCCTGTAGCTTGGTGACCCCTCCGTCTACGGGGATCAGGAACTGGACGTTGTTGAGCGCCACGGGCGTTGTCATGGCGCCGCCGTTATATTTGTAGTCTATTCGGAGGTCCGTGCTGGTGGGTTCACACCGCCAACTGGCTGCTAGGTTCAGGGGGGTCGATGTGAGGCCCTGCGCTGATACCTGCACACATAAACAAACATTAAACTGGAATAGTAATCACGGATACAGACTGGACAGGACAGACTTTACATTTCTGGTTTTAAATGGGTCAACATTGGTCACAGAAAGATGACATCACTTGATCTCTATGGATCAGCCTATTATCTAGTACCAGGGCTGACCTGGTATTGGTTTCTGTATCTCTATAGTAGACCATAGTTGAGCTCACCTGGTATTGGTTTCTGTATCTCTATAGTAGACCATAGTTCAGCTCACCTGGTATTGGTTTCTGTATCTCTATAGTAGACCATAGTTCAGCTCACCTGGTATTGGTTTCTGTATCTCTATAGTAGACCATAGTTCAGCTCACCTGGTATTGGTTTCTGTATCTCTATAGTAGACCATAGTTCAGCTCACCTGGTATTGGTTTCTGTATCTCTATAGTAGACCATAGTTCAGCTCACCTGGTATTGGTTTCTGTATCTCTATAGTAGACCATAGTTCAGCTCACCTGGTATTGGTTTCTGTATCTCTATAGTAGACCATAGTTCAGCTCACCTGGTATTGGTTTTCTGTATCTCTATAGTAGACCATAGTTCAGCTCACCTGGTATTGGTTTCTGTATCTCTATAGTAGACCATAGTTCAGCTCACCTGGTATTGGTTTCTGTATCTCTATAGTAGACCATAGTTCAGCTCACCTGGTATTGGTTTCTGTATCTCTATAGTAGACCATAGTTGAGCTCACCTGGTATTGGTTTCTGTATCTCTATAGTAGACCATAGTTGAGCTCACCTGGTATTTGAGCATGTCCACATTGTAGTAAGTGGCCTGGGGTTTCTGCTCGGCCACCTTCTTTAGATGGGTCATCAGGTTTGGCATGTTCACCCAGAAGGTCTTGCAGTCAGGGTTGGGTGTTGTGGCGGTGTCACTATGTGGGCACACAATAGGTATTTTATCATATGATCTAATGTCATGATTGATCCATCTAAACTTTAGTCAACACAGAGACACAACAGAGTACAAGTTATCTTTGTACCTACTACACAGAGGTCAGGACTATTGCAGTGCAGAGATCGCAAACAGATACTGACTGCTACACAACAACAAATCTGATGCATTTTACACGTGACAGTGCAGAATAACCTTGGAATAAGGTGGTTAGTCAGACCACTGGGATGAATTCACAGTGACTCAGAGCCCAGTCAGAACTGGACAGGTGTATTGTTTTGGTACAGTATGATTTTAGGCATTCAATGTGATATGTTCTAAATGCTACAGTGCCACGTGATGTAGTGAGTGGTGTGAGGGGTATTATAGTGGTCTTTACCAGCAGAGTAGCTGGGGGTTAGGCAGCACATGCTCCAGCCAGCTGTAGTGGGTTATGCTGAAGGTTAGCACGGCAGGGGACGGGTTATTGGCAAAGTGCCGGGTGATCCCCGCTGGAAACGACAGCACCATCTCGCCTGTGATCTTCACAACACACCTTTGGACAGGGACACGGGAGGAGGAGGTTAGAGCGTCCGGAGAATGAGAGAGAGAGAGTAAAGCATGGAGAGAGAGATATAACAGAAATGAAATGGACAGAAGGAGAAAGAGTAAGAGAGAGAGTGGAGAGAATTGGGAGAAAGATAAAGAGAGACAGAGAGAGACAGAGAGAGACAAAGAGAGACAAAGAGAGACAGAAAGAGAGAGAGAGAGAGAGAGAGAGAGAGAGAGAGAGAGAGAGAGAGAGAGAGAGAGAGAGAGAGAGAGAGAATACAGAGATAGAGAAGAAGAGAGACAGAGATAGAACAAGAGAGAGAGACAGAGAGACAGAGAAGAAGAGAAGAGGAGAGAGAAGACATAAGAGAGACAGAAGAGACAAAGATAGAAGAGAAAAGATAGAAGATAGAGAGATCATAGACAGGACCAGAAAGAGACAAGGAGAGAGTACAGAATAACAGAAAGAGAGAAAGAAGAGAGATAGAGAAATAGAGGAGTAAGACAGAGAGAGAGAGACGAGTATAGAGAAGAAGAGACGAAGATATAGAGAAGAGTAGACAATAGATAGAGAAGAGAAACAGACAGAGAGAGAAGAGATAGGAAAGAGACAGAGACGAAGATAGAGAGACACAAAGATAGAAGAGATACAGATAGAGATCGAGCGATACCTACTAGACTCTAGACGATCAGATTATCAGAGATAAAAGAATATAAGAGATGAGTACATAGATAGATAATAACATAGATAAATAGAATAGATACAGAAGATGAATACATAGAGATACTAGAAATGACAGAGATATAGACGAGAATAGAACGAAAGAGACAGAGACGAGCACCCACTCAACGAGAAAGAGAGAGACAATGAGACACAGAGAGCTGAGAGATAGACTCCCGGCGCATCGACATTCTGCCCGCCGACACGAATAGCCCATATTGAGATATAGAAAAGACCGAGACAAGAGATAGACAGAGAAAGACATAGAAAGACTAGAGCTATAGAGAGGCGCATAGACAACCAGAATAGCGATAGAATATGAGACAGAGAGACGTAAGATAGAGAGAGGTACCAGAGAGAGAAGATGATAGAAGACAGAGAGAAACAGATAGATATCAGAAGAGAGACGAGAGAGAGACAGAGAGAGTAGAGACAGAGAGAGAGACAAACAGAGAATAGAGAAGGAGAGAGAGAGATAGAAGCAGAGAGAGACAGAGAGAGAGAACGAAGAAGACAAGAGAGAGGACAGATAAGAAGAAAGATGTAGAGAAAGAAGAAGAGAGAGATAGATAGAGAGAGAGAATAGGATCGATAGATATAGAGTAGATCGAGATAGAGAAAAGAGCTTCGATCAAAATTTAGTGGAGAAGAGAGGGAACATACAGTGAGAGACATCTCCTAACGTGTTTGAGTGGACCTACTTGTTAGGGTTGGCTCCTTTGAAGAAGGCATTGACCGTCTCTGTAAAAGCTGCCGCCACCGGAAGGGTGTCCTGGGTCCCCATGGTGAGAGGGCTGGGGCCCCTGGAACAGCCTGTTTCAGACAGCACACACACATTTAATAGCAATACAGAAAGAGGGAGAGAGAGAGAGAGACTCACTCAGACTAAAAACATTTTGGAGAGGGAGACTGAATGAAAAGCAGAAAGAGAGAAGGAAGACTTTCATCATCAAACACAACCCAGGTCCTTAGTCCTCACAAACCACCAAAGCTACTACTGTTCTCTCATCCTTCTCCTGGCTGCTCCACTACTTCTCTGTCCTATAGATTCCTCCCACTTCCTGTACTACACCCTCTATTTCCTGTTTCCTAACTCTCCTTCTCTCAGCAGCAATGTATGGATGAAGATGGAGAACCAGAGAGTGTGTGAGAGAACCACTGTATTTGTATTTTGTATTTGTATTTATTATGGATCCCCATTAGTTCCTGCCAAGGCAGCAGCTACTCCCCTCCTGGGTTTTTTTAAGGATCCCCATTAGTTCCTGCCAAGGCAGCAGCTACTCCTCCTGGGGTTTATTAAGGATCCCCATTAGTTCCTGCCAAGGCGCAGCTACTCCTCCTGGGGTCCAGCAACATTAAGGCCGTTATATACCATTTAAAATAGTACGTGACATGACATTTCATAACACTTTACTCAATATATTTAGTGTGTTCCCTCAGGCCACTACTCCATTGTCACATATTTATGTGATTGAAATGAGAACCAATGTATGATGGGTGGGTGGGTTTAGCTCCTATGATATCCCATTACCTTGTCAAATCAAATGTTGGATGTACTGTACAGCGATGTGAAGTCTCTCAAGACTTTTGGACATTGTCGTACAACTTTACACAGAGTACAATTTCAGGTTTCACTATATTTACAATATCAGGATTAATAAAGCCAGTTGCATGAGGAGGTTTTGTTGTGATTCAGAAACACTGAAAAGCACTGAGAAGACCAACAGAAATAAAGAATGAAAAATAGTTTTACAAAGAGAGAGAGAGAGAGGACATGCGTATTCCAGACATACTGTTGATGCTGAGTCATCGCGACAAAATCAGAGAGGGAGAGATCAAGATCAAAACCCAAAAGACCAAAAGATCGATGATCTTTTAGGAAACGGCAGACTTGTGGCCACCGAAATTGAAATGAGAACGAGTCACGACGCGAGGAGTTAGAGGAGGAGTGTGAGGAATAAGACAAGAGGGCTACATGTAGAGGGGCGCAGCAGTTAGCTTGGAGGGAGTGAGATGTGGGCCATGAATGTAGGGGTGAGAGGAGGGGGGAGGAAAAGCTTGCACAGATGAGGCTCGGGTGACCCCGGGTGAGTGTGTGCACTGCAGTTAGCCGTTGTGCAGACACAACTTACCTTCAAAGGTTAAATAAAACTTCCCTCTGTCAAACCAAACCAGGGAAGGCTGGTCATTCTCTGTGGTGGGGGAGGGAGAGGAGGAAGGAAGAGTGGTTGAGGAGGGTTGGTGAGAGGGGGAGGGAGAGAGAAGGACAGTAGCGTGAGTCACACGGCAGGTCTATCACACATCACAGTAAGGTGAGGTGGGGTAAAGAGAGGTATGGCTAGGGATGCAAAATTCCCGGGAACTTTCAATACATTCCGTGGCTTTCCAGAATTCCTGTTTGGAGGATTCCGGATTCCTGCTTATTCCCTCCTGATTCCGGGATCCTCCCACCAGGATTTCTAGAAGACCAGGGATTTATTGAAAGTTCCCGGGAATTTTGCAACCCTAGGCATGGCACAGCAAGCCAAAACACTGCCAGGACAGGACAGGACCAGCGTGATGCTGTGTGTCTGTGTGTGTGGGTCATTTCACACTATAGTCCCAACCCGAACCATACAGTGCCGGTTCAGATCATTTCTTTCCACATTGTCCTTTCCAGCATGGTTCCAAGCTTAGTACAGCTCGGCTCAGTGTGAAAAGGTCACGTGTGGGTGCGTGGGTGGGGGTGGGAGGTTGGACTAGGTGAAATAAGGTATCTGTTGGTGGATGGTGGTGGTGTTGGGTCTCTAGCCTGGAGGAGGACTGACTGGGAATGACACCTGGCAGATCGTTCATACTGCACGTACAATATTCATCTACACACTGCTATAGAAAACCTTCATTACCATTACATGAATACTTTTAAATCACATCCTCCTGTCCTAATGCTAACATTACAACGTTTTTTGTGTCATGCTCTGTCTTTCAATACAGATGGAGCCTGGCTGTTGGACTGGCTAGGGACCACAGGAAGAGTAGCTGCTGCTTCTGCAAAAGCTAATGGGGATCCAAATAAACAAATTAATAAACAAATCAACCTGATGACATACACCAGGGGGCAGTGATGAGGATAAACCCATGGAGGAGGGGAGTTGGTTGAAGGGATCAGTGTTAAGGTGTGACTGCTGAGGGGGTGGTTGCGGCTTTGGGGTGTAGTGAATAGATGGCTGGAGTAGATGGATTGAGTGCAGGATGACTGTGGGTGAAGACAATAGATAATAGTGGGCCGGTGTTCTGATAGGGGAGGTTAGAGAAGTGGAACGGAGTGTAGTGGAGAAACATGTTCCCATGGGGTGGAGTGAGAGGGTGAGAGGGAAGAGGTGGTCTGGGACAGGGGGAGGGGGGTAGATGGGGGTAAGGGTGAGAGGTTGGGAGGTGGGGAGCACACTCTCTATCTGCCTGTCTGTCTGTCTGTCTTGTTCTGAGTGTTGAGGAGAGGAGAAGGTGGCATGATAATTACCAACCGGCTGGAGACACTCATTCTCCTTCCAGACTTCAAAAGAGGCTCTGTCTGTATCACAGTGTGTGTGTGTGTGTGTGTGTGTGTGTGTGTGTGTGTGTGTGTGTGTGTGTGAGAATGTGTGTGAATGTGTGTGTGTGTGGTGAGTGCACGTGCGTGTGTGTATCTATGTGTGCGTGCAGTTATGTGTGTGTCAGGGTGTCAATTGGGTATGGCAGTAGCTCAACACCAACTATTTAAAATAGGCTACTAAAATCATCGAGATGACAGACTTTAGGACCATGCGGACGCCTGGGAGCAGGAGGGAAGGCTGTTTGTTTGGCTGGCTGGCTTTATGGAGAGCGCATGGACGCAGCTGCAGTGAACAGCGTGACCTTTTCTACAAAACAGTGCAGAGGTATAGATGGCTGAAGTAGATGGCTTTGGCTAGGTAACTGCTGTTTGACTTGACATGAAACCAAACTAAAATTGTTATCCCGGTGCTGAGCTAGTGCGTCGCAGCTAATTCTTGTAGAATGTTAAGTCCCCTATTGACTGAGGTGAATGAAGCTACAGCAACATGGTGATAATGGCTGGAGGAAATGTTGCTTGTTTTTGCTGCCCTCCAAATTGCATTTGAGAGTTTTTAAATTATGTAGACATGCAGTAAATTAGCTTCAATTTAATAAAAATTCCTTGGAGGAATCCCCCACCCCCCCTCACCCCTGTTACTTTGCCATACCCTAGGTTTAGCTGAAATGACGCCCCTGGTGTGTGTGTTTGTGTGTGTGTGTGTGTGTGTGTGTGTGTGTGTGTGTGTGTGTGTGTCTGGATCTCGATGCCACAGATGCTCTTCAGACAGGCTACACTCTTAATACACAGGAACACACACACAGCACTGCAGAGTAACAGCATGCTCGAAAACACAGTGCTCTCCATACAGTACACACACAATGACTATCATACAAAACAGGGACGTTGCTGTGGTAATGAGGGCAGGACAGCCAAAGATGCAGGTGTGGGAAGATGAAAAAGAGATGCATGGTATTTCAGCTTTCTGAAAAAATTATCCTTGGGATGCGTTTCATTCGACGGCTTTGATTTGAAAGTATGTGAGTCAGAGACAGACAGAGAGAGAGGAGGTGTTTCACCATTTATCAAAGTTAAAAAATGAAAATTAAATCTGTGGCGTACTCCAATATCTCAGTCCAAAATCTACTCCTCCCACATGATGGCTGCCACCCACTCTGAGATGGAATGACAAAAACAAACAAACAAAGCAAGAACATTCTCAAGGATTATGACATCATCATGGGTAATAGGTATCACCGGATCCCTCCCAGGTCCCGCCCCACCCCCAGCCCCAGCCCCCTCCTCTCAGATAGCCTCCCTCCCTTCATCTAAACTATACTGTATCTGCCAGAGAATCAAAGGGCCTCTCAAACGTGGGCAGTTTGTCTACAAATGCATCCTCTTCTGACATCACATCAAGCGACAGCCCAAAATAAATAAAAAGGGACAGAGACAAGAGCAAATTCAAAACAAAACAAAAAGAATGCAAATCAAAACAAAGGAAAAATCTAACTGAAGAATAAAACCATGTAAGTAATAATGGTGACAAAAGAACGGACAGTGTCAAAGTACGGAGGGTACGTTGTGAACTCAAAAATGATGGCTAGATGAAAAATGTTGAGGAAAAAAACAACTCATGACTTAAACACAAAATCAATGGGATGTGAAACACACAACGTATGATCAGCATTATTTAACCAGTCCATTACTACTTATTAGGCATATTGTACTCTTGAAAATCCTATACCAACATTCACAGAAATGCAGTGTAATACATTGAGTGAATACTGTACTCGAGCAGATATACACTGAGTGTACAAAACATTAGGAACACATTCCAAATATTTAGTTGCACCTCAATTTGTCGGGAATGGACTCTACAAGGTGTCAAAAGCGTTCCACAGGGATGCTGGCCCATGTTGACTCCAATGCTTCCCACAGTTGTGTCAAGTTGGCTGGATGTCCTTTGGGTGGTGGACCATTTTTGATACACATGGGAAACTGTTGAGCATGAAAAACCCAGCAGCGTTGCAGTTCTTGACACACTCAAACCGGTGCGCCAGGCACCTACTACCATACCCCGTTCAAAGGCATTTAAATATTTTGTCTTGCTCATTCACCCTCAATGGCAGGAATTGTCTCAAGGCTTAAAAATCCTTCTTTAACCGGTCTCCTCCCCTTAATCTACACCGATTGAAGTGGATTTAACAGGTGACATCAATAAGGGATCATAGGTTTCACCTGGATTCACCTGGTCAGTCTATGTTCCTAATGTTTTGTACACAGTGTATTTGCTGGAGAAGTGAGTGCATCAAGATTTGTTCTGTGTTGAGAGACTCAGAAAAACAGCAGCCAATGGATGCGGCCATCTCAGTGGCAGAGTTGGACAAAACCACACAGGCAACACGGGCAACACAGCACAGATTACCACAGTAGCACAGATAGTGATAGGAGATGATGGCGTACACACACCTGACACAGAAAGGGTGAGATCTTTACCGACGGTGGGGGTGGTGGCTGCACTCAGGGAGTTGTTGGAGGAGATAGAGGAGGTGCTCTCGGCCCGGGCCAGGGTGGCGATGGAAGGGGGGCTGGACGAGTGACTGACTGGGGGACTGAAGGGCCGGCTCTGGGGGGACAAAGAGAGAGAAAGAGAGAGAGAGAGAGAGAGAGAGAGAGAGAGAGAGAGAGAGAGAGAGAGAGAGAGAGAGGTTACATGATTTACTAATATCAGTGTTTTTATGTTCAGACACCCTAACAGTTCAGTTTTTGCGGGGCTAAAAGTGAAACTATAAAAAATTGAAAGTACAGATCAAATATATCAAGATATCGAGGTACCATACAGTATAAACATCTTAAGAGGGGGAGTGTCCTGTTTGAGGTGGGGATTTGAGCTATTGTTGTTTCTGTTTAAGTACAGTGTAAACAGAGATGGACGATATCACATACCATGTCCCCCTTGCTGGGTTTCCCAGGAGGCAGTTTGGGTCGTGAGGAGGGGCGTGGAGGGGGAGGGGGCGGGGTGGGGCTGCTGAAAACAGCTGATGGAGCTGACGGTGTAGCAGGACGAGCCGGAGAGGACGCCCCTGTATGGGGACAAGAGGACATCTGGGTTAAAACATCATGACATCACTGTCCATAGAGATAGAGAACCTCTGGGGAGATCCTTGAACATTAAAACAAAACTGACCTGGCAGAGTCAATAACATCTAGAACATTCTGGAATAATGACTGGGTAACCTGGTTTCCTGTTTACAGAACATTATGTTTGATTGAATTGCTACTGAGCTGAATTGAATTGGATAGAATTCCAGTGAAACATAACACACACCAGTTCCATGGTTGCCTGTTGAGTGTTTTAATATGAGGAGGGTATTGGGAGAACATTAGGTGGTATTCAATATGTCTCACTCTGGTGTACATATGTATAGATTGCATTTTGATACTGATCCAGTGCTATTTGGGTTGTTAATTGGATTCGTCCCACCATTCTTGTAGTTTATTTTATTTTATTTGGTTTTTATATTTTAATTGTTTGACATTTGACTGCATTGTTAGGAGCTAGGAACATAAGCATTTCGCTGCACCGCTATAACACCTGCAAAACTGTGTACGCGACCAATAAACTTTTATTTGATTTGGGCCAGTCCATTTATTGTTTATCTTGAGGGACTATTTTCTCACAGTGGGACAAGACATTCCGAGACAGAATTCCCACTCATCCCGGCGTTCCAATGTGCTGCGTCAGCGAGATCTGTCCCAGCTGTGTTTTCAGTCCTCAATCCTGGTTTCCCATTCCCTTTGTGTTAAACTAAACAAACTGTCCTCATCATGATCATGTACACTTCACTGTCTGGTCTACACTACACTACACTGTCTGGTCTACACTACACTACACTGTCTGGTCTACACTACACTATACTGTCTGGTCTACAGAAGAACAATACTACATAACAGAGTTTGTGATGATTGTAAAGCAAGAGTGTGTGTTGTGTTAATCACTGTAGCCCTTTCCTATTGGGATGCAAACTCAAAATGTAATACATTTCAACTCTATATCTGACATGGTACAGGTGTCGTCTTTTTTTTAAGCCCATAACCATGTGTGTGAGGTGTATACTTTTGTTTCAAAGTAGATTTGTTTAAGACTACCAAGAAACACTCTGTATGACCCTGATTTAGCCCACTGCAGTAAAAGTTAAATAGACAGGGAGAAATGGGTTCATTGGCTGAGGGTTCTCAACCCACTTCTTACTGATAACACACAGCCACACACACAGCCTCACACACACAGCCTCACACACAGCCTCACACACAGCCACACACACAGCCACCACACACAGCCACACACACAGCCACACACACAGCCACACACACAGTCTCACACACAGCCTCACACACACAGCCTCACACACAGCCTCACACACAGCCTCCACACACACACAGCCTCACACACAGCCACTCACACACAGCCACACACACACAGCCACACACACACAGCCCACTCACACACAGCCACACACACACAGCCACTCACACACAGCCACACACACAGCCACACACACACAGCCACACACACAGCCACACACACAGCCACACACACAGCCTCAATGTGATAAACTGTTTTGTAAGACAAGCTGTACGTCTAAACAAGAGAAGTCAGGGTTTCTGTACAGTACCTCCACAGTTCATATACAGTATTTAATGTGTTTAAGTTTGAGGATTGTGATATGGGAGTTTGTCAGCATTAATCTAGCAACATTAAACAGTGTAATGAAGATATCTCCTACTCACAGTAGATTTCAATGAGCCGCTCCAGGCAAAGAGTAAGCCACACAAATCTAATCACTGCCTTAGACGGTCATTGTGTTCCAACCTTTATTTATACAGGTAAGTCAATTAAGAACCAACTCTTTATTTACAATGACAACCTATCAAGTATGTGCTTACACTAGCTAACTGCATGATACAGCTGCAAATCTCTACGACACAGACAGACTGATTCTGACAGTGGTCAGATGGGTTGTGCTGTTATGGATGAGTGTGACGCTTGGGGGTACTCACCACTACCCATGCCCCCTGTCGTGGGTCCTGGCGAGGACACAACTGCCCTGTACGTAGGGGGTGGAGGAGGGGGAGGCGCAGCACGGGACACCTGGCCAACATCTTTGGGCGAGGTGGCGGTTTCAATAAGGCCCTCTTTCGATGGAGCAGGCGGGACAGGCGGAGCTGCCGCTTCAGGACTCTTCCGTTCCTCCTCGACAAAGACAAGGGGTGGGGGGATGGTGCGTGACGGCTCGTCCACAACGGCAGGGCCAGGGGGGCTGGTGGGGGAGACAGGTGTTCTTGCTTTGGGAGGAGAGGGGACCGCAGGGGGGACTGGGGCAACACTGGGGGGTGAAGGGACAGGCGGAACAGGGGTAATGCTGGGGGCTGAGTCAAGAGGGGGGACAATGGTGGGTGGGGGAGTGGGGGGTAGTGTAGGGTCCTTTGGTGGAAGTGGTGTGGGTTGGTGTGTAGGGTCTTTAGGCATGGGTGGGACAGGGACTGTGGGTAGGGGGAGTGCTGGTTCCTCTGTAGGGGGTTCGGAGGTTGGTAAGGAAGAGACAGGTTTTTCCTGTGGGGGAGGGGAGGTGGGGAGAGGGGGGAGAAAGGGAGAAGAGTGTTCCGAAGGGAGAGGGGAAGTGGGTACAGGAGGGGCGGGGGGATCTTCTGGAGGGGGTGGGGACGTTGGTAGGGGCTGGGCTGGGTCCTTTGGAAGGGGCGGTCTTTCAGAGGCTGCCGATTCCTCGCTGAAGCAGACCCACTTGTCGGCAGACTCCTCGCCAAAGGCAGAGGGCTCTGCTGGGCCGAAAATGTTGTCCAGGTTTGGGATGGAGGTCTTCCTTCCTGAGCCTTCTGTCGATACTGACACTTCTGACAGACAGAGTCATGTGCAAGGAGAGAGGATCATAACAGTTTGTATGAGAGAGAGAGAGAGAGAGAGAGAGAGAGAGAGAGATCAAATGCAAGAAAAAGAAAGCAAGAGAGATAAATATTTAACATACAAAGAGGGGATGGTTTGGAGATATATGAGGTACAGGGAAGAAGGGAGGAGGGCTGGAGGGAGGGATCGAGGGATGAGGGGTCTTACCGGCAGCTGCAGAGGGGGAGCTGGTCGGAGGGGGGGAGGTCGGGACATTCTTGGGTGGAAGCGGAGGCGGAGCTGCAATTACATCGGTGCGCCATGAACAGCATGTCACTATAAAGGGTGGCACCATCTAGAGGCCCCTGCGGTTAGTGTCTGGCTGCACCACACCAGCTCAGGACAGGAAATACTATACAGCCCCATGCCTTACACCACCATGCATATGGCCCATAACCCACGGCAGATGCAGATGCAGGGAGGAAGAGGTGATTGAATCATGTTGCTCAACATTAGTAAATCTACCCGGTCTAATCTGAACTCTATGGTATATGGTTTGAATTATTTCTCAAACTAATGACAGATGAAATGAGTGCATTAGTATGGGCTGCAGAGGAAGAGAGAGAGTTAATGGCGTGCTCGTTCACAGATCGCTCGTTAGTTTTATTGTGAGGGTGAGTTGGTTTATGAGGTGAGTGGATGGTTCCGTGCAGTCATTCCAGAGTCATTCCAGAGTCATTCCAGAGTCATTCCAGGAAGTGCAACATAAACAGAAAACGTACTTCCTTTGGGGAAGGTTCTGGTGAAAGAGAAGTCTGGGCTCAGTGACTCAGACTCAGGTAGAGGAGCACCCCACACGTCACACGCCACCCGCTCAGATATACCCACTACATTCAGAACAGACAGGGGACATAACATAGAGGTGAGCTAAATAAAAATACCTCAGGGGGATTTTTAAATTGCTAAAAATAAAGTCATGTTAGCATTAGCCTAAACCTGTCAGGTCAATAATCACCAAACACTGTGCTAAAAAAGAGACACTTCATCTATAAACATTACTTTAAAATGGTTTTAGTCATTCAAAACACAATGTATCTTACAGACTACCTGGCTAAGAGGGAGCAATGAAGAGATATTAGCAACACTATCAGTTCCTCAGAACTGTTCCACTCTATTGAGAATGGGAGATACTATACGCAGGGACTCTAGCATTATCCACACAGTTCTATCTGTGAATGGACAGAGTGTTAAAAAGGAAGGGCTGCTGTACTGTATGTGTGTGGTGACATTAGCTATGCCTCAGCAGGTAGTTACATAACCAGCTAAGAGCTTCCCATCCCAGAGCCTGCAGAGCTAAATCCACTGTGACTGGGAGAGGGGTGAGGGGAGGATCCACATGACACCACAGCAAACCAACCACGGAGGAATCAAATGTGACCTCATAGTGCTTCTGACCTCTGATCCCTTGTGTGTTTGTGAAATGTTTAGTGTGCATGACATAATGGCAGTGTGTGCAGGTGACAGGAAAGAGGGATAGTGTCTTTAGAGGTGGTAGAGAGGCTGTGTAGGGAATAGAAAGCATCCATCTTGTTGGTGTTATTCTGGTGCAGTGTCTTTAGTGTCACAGCCAGCCTTAGAGATCCACAACAAGTCACAGAGTTATTACAGTGCTCAATCACAACCAAACAAGGTAGAAACACACACACAAGCAAGTACACGCGCACACACACACACGAACACACACCACATATACACACACCGGAAACACACCGCACACACACGCGCACACACACAGAAAGAATGACAGTGACAAAGACAGATGTGGTAGAGAGTTGTACCTTCAGTTTTCTGCTCTCTGAAGGCTGTCTCCAGGGGAGGCCCAAATAAGGCTGTAGCGTCCTCTGGTACTGGGGCTGCTACTGGGGCTGCTTTCTTCTCTGGTACTGGGGCTGCTGGGGATTTCTTACTTCTGGGAGGTGAGATAGAGAGAGTGACAGACAGACAGACAGACAGACAGACAGACAGACAGACAGACAGACAGACAGACAGACAGACAGACAGACAGACAGACAGACAGACAGACAGACAGACAGACAGACAGACAGACAGACAGACAGACATCAGGGTTAGTAGGCTGTAGCATTGTCTGGTACGACTTAGGGAAGGGAGGGAGATAAGAGGGGACAGACAGACTGACAGGGTTAGTCAGACCATCAGACTATCACAGAGACTATCACAGACACGCTTCAGTCGGCTCACTCAACCCAGGGAGATGGGACAGGGACAGCAGAGTGAGTCACAACCATCACACTAACACAGAGACTTCCACAGACACTTCAGTCACCTCACTCAGCATACTACAACAGGAGACGTATTCATGTCACAAGGGAAGGAAGGGGATGTATCAGCCTTCAACTTATTGTCACTAAATCAGTGATAAAAGACTGGAAGTCAGAAGTTAATGAAAGAGCCGAAGTATGATTTTTTATTGGTCACATTTACTGAATACAACAGGTGTAGCGACTTTACAGTGAAATGCTTACTTACGAGCCCATTCCCAGCAATGCAGAGTTAAAAAGTAAAACAAATATTTGCTAAATAAAAAAGGAAATAGTAACACAATAAAAACAATAACAAGGCTATATACAGGAAGTACCAGTACCGAGCACCTGGGGTGAGTCTGTGACAGGTCAATGGGGGACAGACAGTGATGTACCTGGGGGTTGGGGCACTGGGGAGGGGCGTGGGTATAAGTGACAGATGAAAAGGGGACAGACAGAGACGTACCTGGGGGCCTGTAGCGCCGGGGCTGCTAACGTGGGGGCTGCAATGGGTGCAGAACGTCTTGGCCGAGCTACCTGTATCTCTTCACCTGAGGAGAGATGAATTCACAGACATTCACCTCAACTGCCTCACACACACTAAAACACAAGGAAACTAGTTAATGACTTGAGTTTAGTTTCTAACCAAAGCATTTAGCTTCAGCGACAACAAAACAACAAAACAAGAGGAGATATCTTAGATACTTACTACAGTCCTTATTCATCAACCCCTGTAATAAAAAAACATACATTTGTAAAAAGACAAAATAAAAACATAGCACACATTACATTTTACACTCAAATGACATATGGAAATCCATGAGTAACACCATGTTGAATGTTCACATTACAGTATTTCCAGGAGGGAGCCTGTCCACTAGCGAAGGTCAGAAGACGGTCTCTATAACCTTAGGATGAGCTAATCGGATGAGACCATTGGCTGCCCTGCCTTAGCAACCATCTCCACGGGGAAGTGAATGACTAATACTAGGCCCGTTCACTCAGAAATACTGTGGAACAATCTAGTAGCTAGTGGCCTTAGGAAGTACGAACTGACGTGTTTCTTATTAATAAAACAATACACATTTCTGCATGGGAGGGAGTGTAGAATATAGATTTTTTTATTATTCATTTGTTATTTATTTTTTAGGGGGTAGAATCTTTTTGTTATTGCAAAGTGACACAAAACGCAGTTACATTAATTAAAATAATATATTATACTGTATAATAGCCATTAGAATCCATTCTACAGCTTTCTAGCGTGAGTCTCGGTAGGCACAGAAAGCTGTCAGAAACAGATAGATAGAGTAGGTCTTTAAAGCCTCATGTAAGCCCAAAACATTGCACACCCTGCACAACATTGAGAAGAGACAGATGAGGCCACAAAAGAAAGAGAGAGAGAGAGAGAGAGAGAGAGAGAGAGAGAGAGAGAGAGAGAGAGAGAGAGAGAGAGAGAGAGAGAGAGAGAGAGAAAAGGAGAGAAAGAAAGAAAGAAAGAAAGAAAAGAAAGAAAGAAAGAAAGAAAGAGACCAAGACAGAGCTGCTGCTTGTTAGTCAGAATACAGTGCATGAAATAACTCTCAATGAGACACGACAATAAGGAAAACAGAGGGAGGAGAAGGAAGGAGAGAGAGAGAGAGAGAGAGAGAGAGAGAGAGAGAGGTTCAGCTGAGGTGTGGCTGAAGTGACAGATCAAAGGGTCCATCTGTCAACATGGGTGAATCTCAAAAGTCCTTCCTCGATTGCTTGCATCATCTAATCTCCTCCCATCCTCTCCCCAACTCCTTCTCAAAACGTCAAGAGGGAAGCGAAGAGAGAAGGCAAGGAGAGAGGACACAAAGAATCGAAGAAAGACTTTTGAGATTCACCCAGGGACTTAGAAGACTAAACCTTTAGCTATTTAGCCATCTTTTCCTGATCTGTCATTTCAGCAATCAACCCCATCCCTCTCCACTCCACTTCCCCAGCAGGCTACAGGATGCATAGAGGGACAAAAAGTGTTTGTTATTTACCCCAGCCCAGGGAAACAGAACAGAACGGAGGAACACTTACCGGGCTACGTCTCTGTGACCAGCAAAAAGGAAGAGAGAACAGACACCTGGTCAGAGAGTGACAGATCAGTAAAGCACACTTCTCCAACACAACAGTTACACAACAGTTACACTCACAACCACAGTTACACTCACAACTACAGTTATACTCACAACTACAGTTACACTCCCAATACAACATTTACACTCCCAACACAACAGTTATACACACAACCACAGTTACTCACAACACAACAGTTACACACCAGTTACACTCCCAACACAACAGTTACACTCCAAACACAACAGTTACACTCACAACCACAGTTATGCTCACAACCACAGTTATGCTCACAACCACAGTTACACTCCCAACCACAGTTACACTCCCAACCACAGTTACACTCACAACCACAGTTACACTCCCAACCACAGTTACACTCACGCTCACAACCACAGTTACACTCACAACCACAGTTACACTCACAACCACAGTTACACTCCCAACAGAACAGTTACACTCCAAACAGAACAGTTACACTCCCAACAGAACAGTTATACTCCCAACAGAACAGTTACACTCCCAACAGAACAGTTACACTCCCAACAGAACAGTTACACTCCCAACAGAACAGTTACACTCCCAACACAACAGTTACACTCCCAACACAACAGTTACACTCCCAACACAACAGTTATACTCTCAACAGAACAGTTACACTCCCAACAGAACAGTTACACTCCCAACAGAACAGTTACACTCCCAACAGAACAGTTATACTCCCAACAGAACAGTTACACTCTCAACACAACAGTTACACTCCCAACACAACAGTTATACTCTCAACACAACAGTTACACTCCCAACACAACAGTTACACTCCCAACACAACAGTTACACTCCCAACACAACAGTTATACTCTCAACAGAACAGTTACACTCTCAACAGAACAGTTACACTCCCAACAGAACAGTTACACTCCCAACAGAACAGTTATACTCGCAACAGAACAGTTACACTCCCAACAGGAGAGATACAGTACAATAGTATTATGTCGTAATGATGTGTGTGTGTGTATTTGTGTGCAAGATCATGTGTTGGTGTGTATGTGTACATTGAGAGAGAAATCACAGTCATCCACAGCCCATAATGGCTGATCCTGGACCTGCTGTGGCTTCATTCAGCTGCATCCTGCAGAGCCCTGTTTTTCTCCCATCTCCTCCTTCTGTTGTCTCATATAATCTCTCCCTCTCTCTCTCCCTCCCTCTCTCCCTCCCTCCATTTATTCCCCATTCAGTCTCCAAGCAGCCACATTTCCATCTTAGTGAAGGTCACTGAACAGCAGCCATCTCCATGCTGGTATTGTGATAGTGTTAAATCCTACACCCATTCAGAGCAACCTGTTCTCCGCAAATCCTGATTCACCTGTACACCTGAGTGTGTTTTATTGCTATTGCATACTTCTCTAACTCTATTACAATGGATCCAATGACATTCAATAACATGGTCCTTTAGTACGCTGAATCACAAACCTGAAGGGAGAAAACTGACATGCAACAAGTGGG